AATAGCGGTTCAAAGGAATAAAATAGTAATTTTAGTGTTTCGAGCGTAAATTTACTTTAGTATAAAGATGAATCATAAAACTAAATATTTTTAGGTTAAAATAACATTAAAAATGAATTCGAAACATCCAAAAACCTTAGGGTAGTCATAAAGATCAAATTTCGGAGAAAAATATAATTTTTGGCCCTATGAACAGTAAAATTCGGGATTGGGCTGACTTTAAAACACCATTTGCATCCCATTCTCTTCCATTCTTTCACTCCACCCTCACCCCAAACCACTTAGAACCCTAGTAGAAGATAAAGGGAGGAAGGAAGTTTCTAGAGTTTGGATTTTGATTGGAACTTTGGATTCGAGGTAGGGGTTTCTTCCCACTCTTGTTCATTGAGGCTAGGGCTTACATATATGTATTCTTGTCACTCTCAATCATATATATGTGCTATGAAATCCTTACACTTTGATATTTTTGCAAAGATTCCCATGCTTTGAAACAAGCTATGCTGGAATAGCGCTATCAAATCCTTTCTTTTCTTGTCTTAGAACCCTAGTTTTCAAGGGAAATGAATTTGCTCTTGATTTTTCCTTTGTCTTTGATTTCAAAATTTTAGTGTTTTGTATTAAACAATAAAATGGTATTGTTGATGATCTCTTGCTTATGAAAGACTCAGTTACACAGTTGCATGAAAGACTTGTGTCTGTTACAACAAGCAAGACTAGATTCTCCCTTGGGTGTAAGACCCGGTTACTAGTTTATACACTTTCGCCGGTGAAAGTCCAAAAAAGTGTATTGGTGTGCAAAACTGGCGATGAGACACCAAAATCCCGCTACACAATAAAGACACAAGGTTTATTTTTTAAAAAGGTCAGTGGATATGTAACATCAATGGGGGGGGGGGGCTTGGAATGCCCCGATTCATCATTGAATGTGTTGAGGGAGCCGGTAAAATCTCAGGTTGAATTGCATGTGTGACTCTCATCTAATAACATTGCATGACATAGATGATCCATTATGAATTACATATTGTTGAATGGATTATTTGTTGCTTGTTGAATTTGCATGTGAATATTTCATATGCATCTAGGTTGGGGAGTAACCTCTTTAAGAGATACCCTATTGAGCGTGACTTATCCTTTATGGGGAAAATATTTTAGGTGCGGGCATGCACCGGTGTATGGCTCTCACTCGGGCTCTCATTGTTGAAGAAAAGCTGAAATGTGGCTTTAAATCATGTTTTTTGTAAAAACTAATATGTTATTTAATTTTTTTTGTATGTAAAGAATTGTAAAAGAACCCAGATGAACTGTATTTTATTTAAAATTGATGTTATATGAGTTTGGGTTGATGTTGTATAAGGTTGGCATGGATTGGAATTGGAGAAGGATGGAATCGGGGGAAAATTGGAAAGACCTACCGGTAGAACGATGAGCTCTTCTACTAGTAGAACTTTTCCTGTAGGCATCTTCTACCGGTAGAACGTAGAACATTTTTAGTGAGTTTTCCTATTGATAGAACGTTGATGTTGGTACTGGTAGAACTATTCTAGTAGGCTTTTTCTACCGGTAAAACTCTATGTTTTTCTATTGGTAGATTTTGTTCAAATCTCAAAATTTGAAATACTTTTGCTAAGTCTTCGGGTTTTGGGTTCTTTTGTTCAAATGATATAAATGAACAATAAATGAGAGTAAGTTAATGTATATTGGACCTTGGTTGGGTCATGTGATTGAATGGTAAACAAGTTATGCATTTGGGAGTGCCCGGTACAAGGGAGACTTTGCCCAAACTTGGTGTTGTTGTGATCTCGGTAAGGGGAATGTTGTGCCATGGTGTCGGGTTATGCGACATTCACGAGTATTTTCGTAGGTTGACAGGTGATCAAAGGGTTAACAAAGGACCCCAGCTTTAAGGGTGTCACAATTAGAGGCAATTGGGAATATGAGATTTGAGTGACTGATTCACCTAAATAATAAGTGTTACCTAGTTAGAGGGAAGGGATGAAGCTTGTCTAGCAATGGGAAGCTCAGAGAAGAAGATTTATTCTATACAAATTGTACCAAATTAGAAGAGGATGATGACTAAGCCCAGACATTAGGAGAAGACCTTGTTAATAAAAACTCATTACCTGATGAAGTAGAACATTGATGGTCATAGAAGCAGAACACTATGTATTGATTGATGATGCTAAATATGAATTGGGATGATTTCTTAGGAGTGGTGCATTTATTTTCATTTTGCACATTAATTCAAGTAATGTGTATGACCACAATAGAAACATTAAAAGAAAGAGAAAATTAGGTTGCTACTATTCTATAATTGATTTCATGTAATTAAAGAAAATTAGGGAGAACTAATGGTCACGGTGTATAACCTGAGATGTATGGAGAAGCCTTAAACCTATAACTAGGAAGTTGTAGGGCCTGCGAATCAGAATTAAAGAGATGCAGACGGAGAGGGTGAAGGTGAAGAGAAAGAGCATGACAGTTTCTTCTTGGCCGACTTCAAAATATGCAGAAGGGAGAGGGAATGAGTGATTGAGAGGGGGAAAATAGTCACCGATGAAAATTCGGGAGAGAAATGGGGAGGGTAATGACAGAGAATCAAATATGGAGAGAGATAGTGAACGGGTAAGATAAGGAAGTAAGTGGGGGGTTATGATTGGGGTTAACGTGACATTAATTGAAAGGATAATGATGATATAATTGTATTATTTAAGGATGAAAGAGGAAAAAAAGTTTCTCAACTATGTTGGCATTTTAAAGTAGTATAGACAGATGCAAGTGACTTATGTCTCCATATACCCAAAAAGATAAACTTATGTATGCATGTTTTCAACCATGATCTTGAAATATACTTATTTTTTCTAAGGATTTTGTGATGGAGAAGGTTCGAGAAGAAAAATAAGCTATTTGTGAGGAACTTTGTGGTAGATTTTTGCAACTAGATTGTTTTGCATGATATATATGTATATTACGCACCTTCCGAATTTTCATAATTCAATATTTTGTAGGCAAGGGAGGCCCAGAGAAAAACTCTAGAAGAAATTAGAGGAGAGAAAGGCTGCAAATTCTATCCTATGTCTGTTGGCTATAATTCCAGCCTCTATATATTTTTAATACAAAAAAATAAAGACAATATAAACAAGTCTTTAGGAATAATTTTTCATACTTGTATTTCATAATTTCTAGCATATATATAGTTGATAAGTTACATCTTGGCCTCTAACTTTTCTAAAACATTAAAATACTACAAGTCTCAAGACTCAATTATTTGTATTCCCAAGTTAACTACATACACTTAACAACTAAGCATTATCTTATATTATACTTTTAACACTTCCCTTTAATATTTTTGTGTTTAACTCTCACCATATCTCTTAGAAACTCAAACTTATCTTTAGGAAGTGATTTGGTAAAAATATCCACTACTTGATTTTCGGTCTTACAATATTTGACTTGAATCTCATTATCTTCCATTGCTTTCTTCCAAGCATTTTTTTTGATTACTTCTTAAAAACTTTTAGGTTCAACCACACAAAAATTGCATCTAGCTGAGAAAGAGGGAAAAAATTGCATCTAGTTGGGAAGGAGGGAGTGGGAACCGGAAAGATTCCTGCGACAACACATGACTAACGCTTCCAATTTTGTTTTGGAGTTGAACTTGGAGATAAAGTGCTTGAACTTGAGAAATTAGAAAGATATGAAGTAGAGTTTAGTGTTGGACAAATTTGTGGTAGAATTTCAACTTCTTCATCTTCATTTCTATGCTCAAAGCTTCCATAATCTTCATTTGCAACAACAACTTCATTTTGAATATTCTTTGCTTTCCAATTCCAAGAGTCCTTCTCATTAAAGAGAACATCTCTACAAATAATCACTTTATTTCTCTTCAAACTAAAGAGTCTATAACCCTTTTTTATTTTGAGCTATAACCCATAAAAATATATTTTTTACTACTTTCATCAAACTTGTACATCACTTGTTTAGAAACACGTGAAAAACAAATGCACCCAAAAACCTTCAAGTGGTTCACCGACGGCTTTTTTCCACACCATGCCTCAATTGGATTTGGGTTCTCTAAAGCCTTTGTTGAACTTCTATTCATCAAGTAATGCGTTGTATACACCGCTTAGGGCCTTAAATCCTTTCTCATAAACATCGATTTTGTCATTTCAACAATGGTTTTATTTTTTCTTTTAGTCAATCCATTTTGTTGTGGAGTGTACACAACCATCAATTGTCTTTACATACTGATATCTTCACAAAACTTATTAAATTCACTAGAGTTGTACTCATTACCTCTATTACTTCTCAACACATTAATGTAATATCCTATTTGTCTTTCAACAAACATTTGAAAGTTCTTGAATACTTGAAAAACTTCAGATTTGTTTCTAATAAAATAAACTCAAGACATTCTTGAAAAACCATTAGCAAAGATTATGAAGTATTTGTTACCTCCATAAGACAGTGTTTTTGATGGTCCTCATACATCGGTGTGAACAAACTTTAATGATGATTTGACTCTCCAAGCTTTTTCTTTTGGAAAAGGATCACTACAAGAAATTGGGGTTTTCCCTAAGAACATTTTCTCGCTAAAACCAAAAACAATTAATCGGTAATGATTTTGCTCAAGGAATTTTTTTATCGCCCTGTTGGTTAGGGAAATTATACACTGACAAAAAATTATTTTCCTCGATAAATGTTTAGTTTTGGTGAAGAAATAAATTATGGGGAATTCTTATGAGATTTTGCATCTAATTGCTTTAATACCTTGGGAAAAAGACTGGGAATCCTCTTTTAGGAAAATATTTGTTGGTAACAATAAACCCAATAATAATTGATGAAAAAACTCTTTTTGAAGTTGGTCCTATTAGTGTTAAAAAAAAAAAAGGTGGTCCTATTAATAACACTTCCTGCATTTCTCAACACGTTTCATTATCCAGAAAATCATGCTTAAGTAAATAAAAAAGAACTCCTTTTTCTATACAACTTTGTTCAAACTTTCATGATTGCTCTAATGATTCTGCATCCTTTGACATACTATGACATTCTGAACAAACCATATAGTGGTAGTCAAACTCTATGCCATTCACACCAATTCCAACTTCCAAGTCATGAAGGGATCTCTCAAGTAGCATCTCCAAAGAATCTCTAGACATCCCAGCTAAATATGCTCTTCCAAAGTTTGGTCGCAACTCATGAAGGTTTTTACTTGAGATCCAATCGTGCTTCTGGTTTCCATTCCCATCATCATATTGATGATAAATCTCCTCATGCTCTACCATAAGAACTTGGAGTCCGTATCATGGTGAGATAAGTTAACACTCTGATTCTTGCTCAAAAAGAAAAAAAACCAAAAACATTAGAGTTATTGGCTCGTTCGACTTGGCAGGATTCATGAGTTGCTCGTTCAAGGGAAGGAATCCTCATTGTGTACTACCTAGCCGACTCTCTTTGTGTATCACTGGAGTCTATCTAACGTCTCCTAATGTAGCTACGAAGGGCAATGCTTTGTGGAAACTAGGCACTGAAAGAGAGATCTCAATGGATACTTCAGAAGCACTAACTAAGGAGGAAACGCCCCAAGCATGGTCTAAAATCATACCATTAGGCTTTCAGGTGTGCTTTTTGTTACTCTTCTCCCTGGCATGTTTTCCTTCAACTAGTTTTGGTAAGAATGGATTATCATATTTCTCTGTTTTTATAGATAAAAAATCAGAGGCCTTTAAGGAATTGAAGTAGCAATCATTTGGGTTCATTACTTTTTCTGTGGAACTGCAAATCTTGTTTCTTGGTAAACTCCATTTCTAAGACAAAACTGGTTTTGCTTCCTCTGTCTCTATATTGTTTGGAATTCAGTCTAAACCAATTATGAAATATAGGCTTTAGTGATTGCTTAATTCCCGGAAATTTGTTTTACTGATTGTTAGGAAAATTATCATGGATAATGAGTTGGTGAACTATATGTATGTAGCTATGTAGACTTCAAAGAATCAAACATATATAAAGTTCTTGTCAATTTATAAAAATGCTTTTTGCTTCTTCTTTGGAGTTTTGAAGTTATGCCTAATCTTCAAATTATTGTTTCTCATTGCTNCATTATCCAGAAAATCATGCTTAAGTAAATAAAAAAGAACTCCTTTTTCTATACAACTTTGTTCAAACTTTCATGATTGCTCTAATGATTCTGCATCCTTTGACATACTATGACATTCTGAACAAACCATATAGTGGTAGTCAAACTCTATGCCATTCACACCAATTCCAACTTCCAAGTCATGAAGGGATCTCTCAAGTAGCATCTCCAAAGAATCTCTAGACATCCCAGCTAAATATGCTCTTCCAAAGTTTGGTCGCAACTCATGAAGGTTTTTACTTGAGATCCAATCGTGCTTCTGGTTTCCATTCCCATCATCATATTGATGATAAATCTCCTCATGCTCTACCATAAGAACTTGGAGTCCGTATCATGGTGAGATAAGTTAACACTCTGATTCTTGCTCAAAAAGAAAAAAAACCAAAAACATTAGAGTTATTGGCTCGTTCGACTTGGCAGGATTCATGAGTTGCTCGTTCAAGGGAAGGAATCCTCATTGTGTACTACCTAGCCGACTCTCTTTGTGTATCACTGGAGTCTATCTAACGTCTCCTAATGTAGCTACGAAGGGCAATGCTTTGTGGAAACTAGGCACTGAAAGAGAGATCTCAATGGATACTTCAGAAGCACTAACTAAGGAGGAAACGCCCCAAGCATGGTCTAAAATCATACCATTAGGCTTTCAGGTGTGCTTTTTGTTACTCTTCTCCCTGGCATGTTTTCCTTCAACTAGTTTTGGTAAGAATGGATTATCATATTTCTCTGTTTTTATAGATAAAAAATCAGAGGCCTTTAAGGAATTGAAGTAGCAATCATTTGGGTTCATTACTTTTTCTGTGGAACTGCAAATCTTGTTTCTTGGTAAACTCCATTTCTAAGACAAAACTGGTTTTGCTTCCTCTGTCTCTATATTGTTTGGAATTCAGTCTAAACCAATTATGAAATATAGGCTTTAGTGATTGCTTAATTCCCGGAAATTTGTTTTACTGATTGTTAGGAAAATTATCATGGATAATGAGTTGGTGAACTATATGTATGTAGCTATGTAGACTTCAAAGAATCAAACATATATAAAGTTCTTGTCAATTTATAAAAATGCTTTTTGCTTCTTCTTTGGAGTTTTGAAGTTATGCCTAATCTTCAAATTATTGTTTCTCATTGCTGGTTGCTAATACCATTTGAATGGCTTAGATCTGGGTGATGCATCTAAGATAGTTATGTTGTTGCTTTGGCACAAATCGATACTATAATACTTGGGAAGACATTGAAAATCTACCCATTGAGATTCATACAAGTTCCAATCTATGACAGACAAATTTGGGGGATCTCCAATACAGATAACTATCAAATTTTGACTTGATTTTCAAGTGTAATAGCAATAGAATAATGTAACGATGCCCATGTATGGGAAAATTGATACACGACTCCAATGATACTATTTTTTATTCAAAATGGTTCACATGCAACGCATGTGCACCAACTAGTTTATTAAAATTTTATCTTAAAGGCATCCTTTTGATCTTCAGATAATTCCTCCGCCTCAATGAGTTTAGTCGTGAACTCCTAGAGAGTGGTACTTTAATTTAGTAATAAGAGGTTTCTTGTCAACGCATTTGTTTAGCATTTATACATTTATTAATAGATCATCAAATACGTCAAAGTACATCAATCAGTCATAAGAGGATTGCAAAATATGGTCAAATGGCCATTCTTTCCGAAATACAACAGCTCAACCCAAAGATAACCAATTAATGAAACCATCTCATTTGGACTACCAAGATTTTTATGTATTTTATGGCCATCCATAGATATATATCCATATGAATGTATATGTATGTGTGTGTATGCACAGGCATATGTGTTCCTATGTAAAGTTTGAACAAGTTGGCAAGCAACCCTCATTGCTTAATGTTGATGATTAAAAAAAATGACAAGGTGAAAAGCAAACAATAAAAATTTATGTCATGCATCAAGATCATCATCAAGCTCCCAATCAAACTCACAGAATGCCCTAAAGAAAAATAAAGCAAAAGGGAAGTTAATTTACACACGTTTCAGTAAACTGCAGCAATAATGGATCCTATTTGAAGAGTTCCAAATAATGTAAGATACAAAGAAGTAGTTGATACCATCATAACTTAGTATCAGTCCTAACTTCTAGTAGTTGGCTACCATAATCTTGTATAGCCATTATGCAAAAATTGGAGCATTGTGTGCCATGCAAAATAGGCTATCAAATGGCTTACTGGTTTTGGTTCTATTGGAAATATGATTTTTACCACAATGGTCTATTCAAATTCCTGAAGAGGCTGGTAGAAATCTAGGAAAGGAACAAAAACAACATTCGAACAAACAATTCTACTTAGCATAGCAAAAGTGAAATGGACAGAGTCAACCAATACTAATCAACAAGGACACATTCACTAATTGCTCCAATACACAAGTACAACAAAAGGATTGAGGGATAACAATTTTCCATAAAACAAATGTAACGAATATATATTCCCTCAGAGGAACATCCTTATGGACAAGAATACTTGTAGATGTAAAACTGCAATAGAAACTTGATAACAAGTTTATCGTTTGTGTGAAATTTAACGGTGGATTTTAAATCTAAATCAGTAATAGATGCAAATCCACAAAATTGGATGTATCACACCTAATAATCTTTTTGATATTGGAAGTAACACCTAACACCACTAAAAGAAAAAAAGGTTTTTATGGCAGTAAAATACTGTTATAAAAGGTCAATTTGTCATCACAAATACTTTTTGTGGAGGCAATGTGGCGGCATTGCCTCGCCATAATAAGTGTAGTCTCAAAATTTTTTTACGGTAGCAACGGTCTGTCTCAAATAGTATTTAAGGTAGCAAGACCCTGTCGTAAATAAGTTATCACAAAAAATCTGACACTTTTACTTTGATCACGGCAGCAAAAATGCTGCCTCAATACCACTATCGTAAAAAATAGAAAATTTTATTGTGGCGGTTAATATACTATTGCAAAAAGTATAATTTTTTTTAAGTATTATGGACTTTTGTAACCAATGTTATATACCCTGTGCATATATACACTTTCATCACATGAATTTAAAAGTGCACATTCATACTTTTTTTTTGGGAGGGGGAGGGGGAGGGGGAAAGGGGCTTGAACCCCTGATCTCAAGAAGGCAGAGCTTTTACAAGGTAAGAAGTATCATTAGACCAAAGACCCATTGATATCCGTACAACTACCCAATTCAATATATAGATAAACACAAAAGTAAATATGACCAACATTTGTAAAAATATAGCAATATTTTCATATCAAAAAAAAAATCCCATGAGTTAAAAAAAATGTAAAATATACACTTTTACAAAGCATAATGATCCATGAGTACACAAAATTAATGCAAAAAGTTGAACATTCTTCCCAAATCATCTACTTTCTTAGTGACATCTTAGAAAAAACATAAAATTATTGTTACTATATTGAATGATATATATATACAATAAAGAACTAAAAGAAGTTAGAATATACATCAATAGAGGGCCACACAATATTTCTCTGAACGACTTGTCCAATTATGTAAATAGTATATAAACGAGTCATATCATATATATTTCTTCTAATTGGTATCACCAACGCTTGATTCGTTTATAATCGTATTGTGTCAGGTCCATTAGTTTACTAAACAGGTGGCTTAAAGAAGACTCAAACCCACAAATTTTATGTCGTGTTAATGGGTCGTGTCATATTTTGACATCCCTAGTTTTGACATAAAAATTGACTTCGTAGAGTTTAATTTTTTTTTCTTTGAACTAGAAATTGTCTTCTGATGTAAAACTACGTAATTTTATAAAATATTTGTAAAACCCGGGTAAATTTGAACTTTCTACGAAAAGGGGCAGAACAGTAATTTGTCACTACGGTACAGGTTGCAAATCTGAATTTTTCTAAAGCTTGGATGACAAAACGGACCTCACTTTTGGATTCGTCTCGCGAAATCTAGCAACCTTGTCAATTTTCATCGAATTTCAAAATAGACAAAATTTTCATGTTTTACGAGACAAACGGGCCTCGAGTGACTCAAAAATAAATTTTTGAATAAAATTTTAAAATTTGAAAAATAATTTAAAGAAGGTTCATAGAAAAATATTTTGTACCTGAACTGGACCGAAATTTAATCGTTTCAGAGCGAAAATAGATATGGGAAAGGAGGTCGTGTGGCGCGTTGTGGGCCAAGTATCCTAGGAGTATAAATAGGGGAGAAAATCAGATTTCTCCCCTATTCATCAGCTGGGTTTTAACGTTAAAGAGAAGAGAGAGAAAATAGAGAAAATCCAACTTCTCTCTACGATTTACGCCTCCTCGTCGCTCAAATCAACTCAAGCCAAGTATTAAAGTCGTTCCTCTCAGCGAGGGTTTTACCAAAGTCCAAGAAACAGGATTTGGGAAAAGTGAAGATACTAACTTGAATAGGATTCTTGAAGCTTCTCAACGTCGTTTGACGCTTCAAGAGGTAGAGTTTTCATTCTAACTAGGTTTATTTCCAACATATGATGAATATATAAAATGGGTGGGCTATTATGTGTATTTTAACACTTTCCTATTGTATTTGGTTTAATGGAAATGGGTAAATTCAATTCTAGTAGGAATTGGAAATTAGAAATTCATAGTTTGAGATTTTTTGGAAGTTTTGATAATTGGGTATGTGGAAATCACTTGATCTGATTTTTTTTGAGTTTTGTGATAAAGTTGGGCATATTATGTGATTACATCATTTGGTGCCTTGAAAGTGTTTGATAAAATGCCTATGTGAAGTAAAGTGTGTTAATTTCATGAGATTATGTGATAACATGCTTGGAAGAAATTGTTGTTAAATGTAATTGTTGATACATGCTCATGATATATTGATATGATGAGGATTTATGGAAATTATATGCTTGCAATATAAATTGTCATGGGGGTATGTTGATATATGTGGAAAGTATTCATATGACATTCATTACTTATTGAACATGTTAAGGGTATTGCAATGGTTTATTAAATTGCATTTGCAAAGAGACATCACATTCGTGGGCATTGACATGGGTGTGGGTGTGTGTGCTTGTTGTGGGATCAAACACCATTGTTGGTGGTTAATAAGTGAGCTCGGGAAGGTTGGACCTAGATCTGATTGAGTTACACGGTTGCATGACAAACTTGTGTCGGGTCCAGCAAGCAAGGCTAGATTCTCCCTCGGGTGCAAGACCCGATTACCTGGTTCATACACTCCCTTGAGGTGAAATTTTAGAAAAGTGTATCGCTGTGCAGAACTGACGGTGCGATACCAAAACTCTGCTGCCAAACAAAAACACATGATTTTGTTTT